TTAGTAACTTGGCCGTTCGCTCTAGTACGCTTCTTTCAGGCAATCCGTTCGATGACTTGAAGACGGAATCTAGCGTGGATAATTCGAGGTCGCTGTATCGTTTAACCGCCTTTTTTGGAGGCTTGTCACTTTCATCAATTTCTTTCCTCCGTGATTTTGACACTAAAATAATTTAAAGCAAAAAATTAATTTAGTCAAGAAACCCTATACTAACCTTTTGTCATTCAATGACTTACAGTGGTCGAGCCTAACCGTCAGCGGTGGTAAAGGTGTCATGCTATAAATATTGTCACCAAGAAGGTGACGAGCAATGATATTTCACTTTATTATAAAAGAATGTAAATACAACAACTATAAATAGATATTTACCTTTCTTGTATTCATCGATCAATGCGGCTTGCTGTTTGGGGTCGTTTAGAAAAGCGTTCAAGGTTACCCATATTGCCCGGCCATGTGTTTTTGGCAGCTCGTTTGGCGCTTTTGTGATGTAGTCTGAGAAAGAACCTTGGGACCTATTCACTACCCTTTTAGCAAAGAATGTTTGGGAAACCCCTTTTGTGAGGAGCCATCTCGAAACTTTTGAAGCGATTTCCCTCGGTAAAAGAATGACATCTTCCGTATTCTTCTTAGCTGCACCGGCTTCTTGATCTGCTTCGTCTGTAATCTCCACGACTTGCGTTTGAGCGTTTGTAGCTTCGGTAGCTTCTGTCGCTTCATTACACGTGCTTTTTCCTGTGTGGAAAAGGTTAAGACCATTCTTGTCTTAAATCGCTCCTAAAATTCAGTGTCAGTTCCACAAGGTCTAAATCTAAATTTTTGCAGTTTAAACTATAATGGAGGAGGCTTAAAAACATCTCAAAACACATAACATTCATGAGTGAAATAAACAAACAACACTGCGTACCATTGGTACCATTCACCGCATTTTCCATTACTTTAATCTCTCCGCAACGCTCTTCAACAAATTTCTTCAAATCAGGCAGTTCTTTTCTGCTATCTTGACTGACACTTCAACGTATTCTTTATCTTCCATGGTTGAACCAGTTTCAACAAAGATCAAGAAAACCGAGAGAAAACAAACGTTAACACACCCGAGACACGAATTGGCACAAACACCGGCAGTCAGTGAACGTGTGACACGAATTAGCACAAACACCGGCAGTCAGTGAACGTGTGAAAAAGATACTGGGGAGAGAATCTGGCAGTTGATTCCCGCGTTTGGTCAGTTTGAATCCGATCTATTCTTGATACTAAACACGAAGAAAAAGAAGTTTTCAGAATCTAAATAAGTCCAGGAAAAATAAAATATAATTTAATTTACTCAATAAAACAGAACAGGAAATATACTAAAAAAAGTTGTATTAGTTCAAATATATCACTATTGCAAGAAAAACCTATATTATTCGAATATTTGACAACTCTCTGCTGTTTTCCTTTAAAAGAGTAGTTGATCTATTGAGTGATCATTCAGTTTATTTTAATATGTTTTTTTTAATACTTAACCAACGAATCTGCTCAGCGATATTATGCTGTGAGGGGCGGGCTGTATACACCGTAGCGTATTTAACACACACGCACGAACATCTTTCTTACAGGAAATAAACTGCTGACGAGTTATTTTGGAACCGCCAAACAGAAGTCTTCCCCCCCAGCCCATCAACATCTCGGAGCGCAAGTGCCAAAACAGTCATGGTTGCAGAAATGGTGTCTTATGCACAAAGAGAAAAGGTATACAGCGTGGGTTCTTTTTTCCCTTTTTTTCATTGTTTTGATTCCGCGTCTTTTTAAGCGATGTTTTAAGGGTTTTCCAACTCAAGTCATCTGACCCAATGTTTAATTGATTTCTATTTTCACAGGCAGTTGCAAATACACACCGAGAAATGAACAGGGCGTTCGGACAGAGGCTGAGTGAAATGATGATGACAGAATCTCCTTTGCGGGATCAGCAAGACAACTCAAAACAACGCGTTTCAGTTGAAGAGATCGTATACAACGAAAAATTTGTATACATGAACCGGCTTTCAGAGGCTAGGATAGAGACTGAAAAATTATTACATTCCTCCGATTTGTCCAAAGTCCAAAAAGTCGCATATGGAGAGGGAAATCTCAAATATGTTAATGGAAAGTAGAGACAATACCCAGAGGGTCAGGGACTCCTTCCGGTTCCAGTGTCTGTTAGGAGCATCAGAGGAAAATTTTAAAAAGAGCCGTTTAGACATTGCCACCTCTTGTATTCAACATATAGCGGAGAAAGCTTCATTATCAGAATTGTATCGAAAAAAAATTGCTGAACTTAGACTACAGTTATCGGTAAAAGAAGATGTCATTTGCGCATTACAGCATGATCTGAAAAGCAAATGTCTAAAACAGCAGCTGCCAGAAATCGCGCTTCAGCTGGCTGCAGTAGTAGAAAGGAAAGACCAAAAAATACTGAATTCATTTCGATTGTGTCCGATCTTCTTGCGCACAACATAAATGAGAAAAATGCTGGAATGACGACACAAAGTCCTTGTTCGCAATTATTCTAGATTATGGAGGACCGGCCTTGCTAAAGATAATCAGGGAAAAAATTGGCGGGCCGAGTCTGCAGACTGCTTATGCAACAGCCCGACGCAAGGTTCCTATTGCAACTAAACTAACAGAAGATCAGTTTGGAATAGCGGCCTCATTCTATCAACGTGTTGGTTATACGGGACCATTTGTCCTGGCCATAGATGCTACTGCAATTTCACCATGCCTTAGAGTAAGAGGCAATCGAATCGTAGGAATTGCATCTGAAGAGGACATTTTTGTACGTACTGCACAAGATATTATCGAGGTGACAAATGACCAAAGTAAGGAAAAGGCGCGGCAAGCTAATGCGTTTGTGTTGACTCCTCTGCAAGAGCACGTTCCTAGTTTTACCCTTGCAATTTCACCAGTAGTTAAGGGGCAAGACTGGGCTTCAGTGAGGAATTGGTTCGTGGACGCATTAAACTGGGGTGCTCAACATAATATGCAGATTCTCGGAATAGGTGCGGATGGAGACTCTAAATTTAGAAGATACTTTCTTGATGAGTTTAGTAAAAGGCATGGCATGGTAGATGAAGTGATTTCGGTATCTCACAAGGGGTTCAGTTTTGTTTCTGTGGTCAAGAATGTTCATGGCCTGAGAATTCCTACTGTTATGTTTCCTGACTGGAAGCACCTAATTAAAAAATGGAGAAACCAGATTCTAAACGTGCGTCGCGTCCTGGTTCTAGGAGATTCGTTTGTCATGATTGAAGATCTAATGAGGTTGTATGAGGCGAACAAATTAAAAAGTGGATTATGGAAAAGTGACATTTTCGTCAGGGACAAACAGAACGTGGCTGCAGCGCTACGAATTTTGCAACCTGAAGTCCGAGAATGCTTGAGCGAGTGGAATAAGGACCGCAGTCAAGCAATTCGAGTTTACCTTAAAGTAGGACATAACATGCTACGTGCATATACAGATGAAAATCTCACTGTGAAAGAACGGTCAAAGCTTGCTTGGTCTTCAGTTTGCTTTGTCAGATTATGGAAAGCTTGGGTAGAGATGTCAAATTATCCAATAGAGTCCTCTTTTATATCCTTACAAACGTACAACGATATAGTGCTTGCGGGACACTCGCTTATATTGTCGAGAAAATTATTTTCGGAGTACTTCCCCGATCAATCTTTTAATCCCTCTACGTTTGGTTCTGACAGTTGTGAAAGACTTTTTGCACGCTGTCGTGGGTTTTGTAAAGGGAAAACAAATTTTTGTATGCTGGACATGCTCGACATTTGCGGCAGAATAGCAAAACTCGATGAGCTGAAACTTAAGGAGCCTCCAGTTGTTTCTCGCACATCTTGGCCAGAGTTTGTGGAAGATGAAATCTTGAGCGGCATCAAGGAGGCAGAAAAAGAAGTTCTGAAAACCATCGAGGGACTAGGCATGCTGCCACTTTTAGCTGCTGGTAACATATTAAGATTAGATGATTCAGGGGACATACTGTATATCAACCCAGGAATAGAAGCCTTAGCTGATATACGTGACGGTCCTGATGAAAGTGACACTATAACCGTAGAAGAATTGCTAGACGTGGAAAACGATGTTCTATGTTCTGCTGCTGAGACTAACGAACATTGCTATTCCTTTGCGCTATCTGATCTGGCAGCATCCTCCATCCCAAGGTCAAATGCATTTGACCGAGAAGAAGGAGGAGAGGAAAATGGTGATGTCGATGACGATGATGACCCAAGGCATTGCCATCTTTTCCAGAAGGGTACCTGTAAATACGCAAATCCTGCCTTTAAAGCTCCAAAGACGACTCACTGGATTGGTTGTGATTATCCAGGGTGCGACAACTGGTTCCACGAATCATGCTTAAATCTCAAAATTCTCAGACAGACTCAGAGAGAAACGTATGCCTTTGTTTGTACATCGCATGGGAACGTAAAAGGGATGGAACAATATAAGGACCTAGTTGCTGCGACGGCGTCAGATATTTCCATGATGGAGGAAGACGAGCAGAATGAAGGCACGTTCCACTTGAAGAGACGAAGGAGATTTAATTACGGGGAGAAAACATCAGCAGCTTCACAATGTTCAGTTCCACCCAACTATGTTGAGTATGGTGGAGAATTTTATCACATTGCGGAATTTTTGTCTCTTCAGCAGGGAAAAGTGTATAAGCCATCTACTTCTAGAATGGCTAGATGGATGGCTGTCTCAAGGAATGATTTCTACGAACGGGTAGAAAGGCTCGTAGCACCAACTAGATCAGAAAACGGACTATATTTTGAGGATATAGCGGCATTCTGGGTCCCACGTCTCGGTATGAGATGCGGTTTGGTATTGCGGCTGGTGCGTGACACGTTTTCTAAATCCCCTGTTCCTGTCTTTGAGTGGAAGAAAGGAAACGACTCGAAAAAGAAAAATATCAGTTTGCTTTCAAGTTCTTTCGATCTTAAAAAAGGAAAATAGCAAGTGGTTGTTATCACCCACAAAAGAAATAATGTGGAGTGAATGCAAAACACATTTGCTAACTTTCGGAAACCTCCAAGGGGAAAGAAAGTGGCCTTTGAAAGTAGACGCGGAGGCGATGGAAATTCTACTGCCAAAGCTGGAAGAGGAAGAAGAAGAGTCTCGGAGGAAGGAGGAGAAACTGAAAGAGTTAGAAAAGGAGAAACGTAAAATGGGGCCACCAGAAGACATGACTGTCTTCCTTCTCAAAGAGGTGTTAGACAGTCTAAATGTGACCTATAGATCCAACGAAAAAAAACCAGAACTTATAGCAAAAGTCCGTCAAGCTCGTGAGAACTTACAGGAAGGAGAAACTCACTCAACCTCAAGATATATTGGAAAGAAGAAGAGCAGAAAATTCAAAGCCTGCTTAACTTTGAATAATAACATAGCTTGCTTATACTATTACGATGAGAGAAAAGAGAAACTTCTCCAGATCCTTTCTCACCTATTGTTTCTCTTGGAAATTGTTGGAGCATATTTGCAATGCATTCTTTTCGTACAAATTGTAACTTTTATTCTCGCGGTCTATTGCCTTTTGTTGTGTCATTCATGTGTAATGACCTTTTTTGCTCACTTGATTCATTTACGTCGCGTGTGGATGGAGGTGTTATCTTCTTGGCTGTTCGCTCAAGTTAATTTACAACAAATACTTGGTGAAACAGTTGTTACTTATTAGTTGGTTGTACTGAGCACTGATGATTCGTGTTCGTGGACCTTAGGTATCTGAGACAATCTTAAAAAGGTAGTAGGTAAGCTTAAGTTTACATAAGATTTTTTTTTACCAGTTTTTACGTTTCTATGTCCAATGAAAGGGACGAGGGACTTTCCCTTTACGTCACAGAATTGAACACACCTCTATCGATCCCCCTCATTCGGTAAGGGCAAAAACAAAAGAACCAACTGTCATGATGCCGTAGACGGTAGACAAGCGTTAAGATTCTAGAATTCTGCCGAAATCTAAAAGCCTCCGACCGTTAGTAGCTGTTTCAGTGAAGCTGGACAATGGATCGGCAAGAGAGTATTAAAGGTATATATTACTAAAAGTTCGCCAATACTAGAAAAGACGTATAATTGTAATGTACACTTACAACGTATTAACTCAAATCTGCTCAAATGTTTCGATTTAATTCTTTGCTCGAGCGCACTATCGTCCACGATTGTTCAGGTTTTCTGTTATTGTCCGAAATTTAAATGCATTTGTGAGGTATCAGTATTTCGAATAAAGTTGGAACGTCCTTTAGCATCGACGACGGGTGATTTATGTTTCGTTTTCACCATTATGCGCAGTTGAGAAATATGTTGCAATTGCATCGAGAACCGCTGATCGAGCACAAGATCTCTTACACAATATTTACGAATCATTTTAATTAAAAGTGTGGCGAATAAGTTTATTGATTAATGCATCGGTATAACAAACTATTTAGTTCCAGCAAACGAAATCACTAAGTTGTGTCCGATAACCCCGGGGCTAGTGATTTTTGTTCTTAACTTTCCCGACGGGCAAGTGCTGTTTTTTTGGGTAAATTCAAATTACAGAAGGATTGTAATCAATCCTACTGATCAAAAAGGGTTTTGGGGCTAGTTGCAATGACTTGTGGGCTAAATGTTTCTAAGAGACTAACTAATGTAGCTATTACATTAATCTTTGTATGAATTTAGTTCGGCACATGACACTGTAACTCTTTTGAAACCCAGCCGTCCTACATGTACTTAAGCACAACCAAGCCTAGACCGTGAGCAGTCTCTCTTTTTCTTCCGGTTTCCATTTGCGTGTCTCGCGTTTTGCTCGACAGACTACAGAAAAAAGATAGACTGCCGGTAGTCTAAACAAAGCCTGCCATGCTACATGGTAATAGTCTGTGTTGCAGATGCAATTTAGCCTCAGTAAGTAAGGTCTGTGAAGCAGTGCTGATATACATGTATCCTGTTTTTTGGACTGGAGCCCCGATGGACTCAACAAATTACTGGAAGAGCATTTCAAATTTCCTTTCATCTTAACCCTTTCACTGCCAAATATGACCAAAGGTAAATTCGACAAAAGTCCCAAATTTCATTTTGTAAAATTTTTTAAAAGAAATAACACCACATGAAAGTACTCCCAAAGAGATTTCATTTGAATAGGATTTTGTCCACAGACGTAAAAGTTAGAACCACGAAAGGGTTAATTGGCAAATTGACAATTATGGCATTTTGAACAGGCAAATCATGGTGGCTACTGAAATCGTGGTACACAGGTGGGGGCCCAGATCAAGGGTTTCAGTGCTGTTTCGTAGAAAGACTTAACCAGAGTCTGTGGCACAGGCTATATAGTAGAAGCATGACTTGGTTTTAAATGCCATGCTACTGCCATGCTAAAGTCAAATTTAATCCAATCAATTGGATTGGCACAGCAGGAGCACAATGATAGAAATGGACCCTATACATGTAATTGCAGGTAGTCATTGTAACTACATGTACATCGTAACCAATTTATTGCATCAATTAGTCCTTGTATATTTTTGTGATGTACATGTATTAATTGAAAATAATTTTGTTATTGAAATAATTATGACACTGTTAAAAATTGCCAGGCCATTACTCAGTAAAATTGAGAATTTACAGTAAGACACCAGTGTACTATACATGCATGTATTTAAGTCAAAGATTTCACTTGTTCGTCTGATGGTGTATGTTTATGGTTAAACTGAAATTTTACATCTCCTGAACCACTGTTTGATGTTACAGGTTGTAATATTTTACATCAGGTACCAGCAATTTAATTTTATACTTTGTTTTAGGATCATGGCCTATTGCTGCTTGTAATTCTCTGGAGCTGGGAACATGCAAACTGATAATACTTGAAACCTGCCGACATAACGTCCAGGAGCTCTGGTGCTTAGCACCAGGGGATTCACTCAGTTCTCCTAAGCTGCGTTTTCCTGGCCAATTTTTCCAAGTTCAGTATGTCATTGCACTGTGCAATGAAGTCTCTCAAGAATTGATTGATTGCAGATTGGAGGCTCTTCAAAATCACGCCATGTTTAGGATTGTAAAATGTGAGTGTATAATATTACACAAAATAATGGTCATACAGTCGAAGCTCTGTTAGCATTAGTGTCGTAATCAGCCGCCGTCATAGTACCCTGTATTTTAACTCCCATTACAAACTCTGTATTATTGCATTGTCATAAGCGGACAATTCCCGTATGCAGCCACGGAAACTTCCTTGGTTTAGAAGTAATAGGGTTTAGGTTAGTGCTCCCGTAAGAGGACATCTTAAATGAAATCTCACTCACCAGTCTGAATCTTGTACTTTAATACTGTTATCAGCTTGATATTATTGTTGATCACAATAAATTTATGTCCATTTCGTGTTTTTTTTTCTTTTTTTTTTTACATAACCGTCCAGTTACACTTCAAAGCATCACTTGAATTTTATGCTTGTGGCTAAATTAACACATTGTCAGATCAGGCCAGTATAGCCAAACACTATCAAACACTTTTTTGCATTTCCAGTGTTTATTTGTACATGTAGTTGAACAAGCTCCTGTAAAAAATCATTTAACCCTTATCTCTGAAGTGACCACTTAACTTGTGTAAAAGAACCATTTCATAAGCAGCCAGCTCCAGTAACAGACACCTTTTTCATGTCCTGAGGGTGTCTGCTTACCAGTCTAGGGCTTCTACCTGACTACTGTATTAAAATAAATATTATTTCTTTCTGTCCAACCCTTGTAAAAATTTATTAGCGATCGCGCCGCGATCGCGGCGCGATCGCTGTCAAAATCGCGTAGCGTTTTTGGCCGGATTTCGCGGCGCGATCGCTGCGTTATTCGCGGAGCGATGGGAGCGATCGCGGCGCGATCGCTGTCATCAATCGCTTAGCGTTTTTGGCCGGATTTCGCGGCGCGATGAGAGCGATCGCTGAGCGATCGCTGTCGTCGATCGCTTAGCGTTTTTGGCCGGATTTCGCGGCGCGATGAGAGCGATCGCTGAGCGATCGCTGTCATCAATCGCTTAGCGTTTTTGGCCGGATTTCGCGGCGCGATGAGAGCGATCGCTGAGCGATCGCTGTCATCAATCGCTTAGCGTTTTTGGCCGGATTTCGCGGCGCGATGAGAGCGATCCCTGAGCGATCGCTGTCATCAATCGCTTAGCGTTTTTGGCCGGATTTCGCGGCGCGATGAGAGCGATCGCGCCGCGATCGCTGTCATTAATCGCTTAGCGTTTTTGGCCGAATTTCGCGGCGAGATGGCAGTGATCGCTCAGCGATCGCTGTTGTCGATCGCTTAGCGTTTTTGGCCGAAGTTCGCGGCGCGATTGGAGCGATCGCGCCGCAATCGCTGTCATTGATCGCAGATGGCTTTCGGTCGAATTTCTCGTTGCGATCACGGTCCGGACGAAAAAGACATAAATGAGTATTTCTTATCTCAGAAGAAGAGCAGTGAGCTGAAATTTGTCCTGAAAGTTGCAGTAACATTTTACTAACTTGTGACAAACGGAGAGCTTCTGAGCTTTGCCGAAAATCGTGCATCATAGAAAATGACCGCTCCGTTTGAAAGCCCCTGGTCCGGCCAGTGGTTCCGGCCACTTTGGCTACTTTAATTGGAAGCCGACATCAAAAGTGCGTAAAAAGAAACCTTCCAAGCACCATCTGATCTAAATTCCTGTATAATTTTTATAGGCTGCTCACTTAAAATTCGAAACCAAACTGAGATTTCTGTGTAAAGAGCTAACGTTTGGTCTCTCGAAGAAACTAAACCGTGAAAAGGTCAATTCGCCACCATTTTAAATGAATTCAGTCAAAGTTTAGAGGGAAAAAATATTTGTCGTCGCTTGTTTACGTCCTCAAGAAACACCTCCCATCACCAAAATGTTGTCTAAGTCATGCCGCGACCGAAAAGCGTGCGTCATGCATGTGCAGGACGTGCAGAGTAATATTTTCCTTGTTAGGCCCATTGCTTGCCAAGTTTTTTGACTTTGCTAAATGCTACAGCTCCCAAATGAAATATAAGTTTCATTTTATGGCCTTCTATATCACTGCTTAATAAATAAAGTGCAGTGTTACTGGGAAATTTTCAAACAGGCTTTCCCTTTTCAATCACTATTTGGCTAGTTTGGCCGGACCAAGGACATAGTACGCAAAATTTATTTTGGAATATTATCTAAACTTTGGTTTTAAAATTCAACCAGTCCACCGAATTTTTTTTTGTTTTGCAAGTCGAAAGAACATTTCTCGTACGCCGTGTACACCAAAAATTAGCTTTCTTAACACTTAATTGCATACCTGAACTAAAAATGCATCCAAGTAATTTAAGGCGCCATAAAAAAGCAAAAATAACAGAACAAAATTCACCTACGACAATCGAGCTTCAGAAGGCAAACAGATCAATAAAAAATCGGAAAGTTTCGTTTGTAGTTTAACCTTATTTTCTTCCGAAAATTACGTACATCACAAATTAAAACGGGCCGGAACTTATCCGAACTTATCCGAACTTATCTAGGAAAGATCGAAGCTACTCAGTCTGCAAGCAGGGTAGTATAAATCATGTCAAGATAAAGCTAAATTTTCAACTTAAACGGGTCTAAATAGGGAATGAATTTTCAAAAGAAAGGTCTTATGTGAGAGTTCAGTGAATCGTGTTTTTTATTCTTAGCTAAGTGTGAGCAGAGTAAAACGTTTTATATCCTGAAGTATTGAGATAATGAAACCGCCTATATGCATTGATTTCTTTTCTTTTGATCCACTTGTCCATGTCTTCAGATAGGTTCATCCTATTAGGGATAAAAATATTTTTTCTTTTTTCCTCACGCTAATGATATGTTTCATGTTCATTTACCGTGCTTAAATATTCTCACTGAAATTCTCCATACTTCTTTATTAAGCCAATTTAATGTGACGTCCCACAGTCTTCAGCCTAAACGTTACCTTTGAAATTTACATAATGTACAAACTGAGTACTCACAACTGTTGTCTTTGCAAGATTAATTGTTGCTGCAGAATATTCAAGAGGCCATCATGGCTCTTGGTATATTGCCATGTTTATGCCCCACAGTACGTCCAGAGCGGTTTTCCTGTTGAGAAATTAAAACCAGTTAACCAAGAGAGTTATTCCCGAAATCAGAGTATTGAAATATTCAAATCAAGACAAATCACTGAGTTGTGAAGCTCAAGTAGCTTAAGACTTACACCCCCCGAAGGATATAAAAAAATGAGCTAAAAAACGAAGGCTCCAAAATCAGAAGTTTTGCTTTCTGGAACTATTAAAAGGTAGCTCGAATTTTTTTAGCTTTTTTGTTTGTTTGAGAAGCCTAATAAAAAGGCTAACCTTAATTGTGTTATAAACTATGAAAAGTGCCGGAAAGTATAAAATCGACAACACCGAATGAATATCAAGCTTAACCCTAATTAGGTTTAAAATTAAACTTAGTGATAATAAGAAGTGAGTAGACTTACCTTTTTGAGTACGTTTCTTTGTTTGAACTTTCAACATGTCAAAAGAATCATTAAGAAAAATTTTCCAATGTTTAAACAGCAATAAACGGCCATTGCCAATTGCATGACAAGTGAAATTGAGAGCAATTTTCTTTTTCAAGGTACGCGTCAGCCTTGAATCTTGGCCACCCGCGTCGCAGTGGCGGGAAATCGGATTTTGGAATCCAGTCCCCAAGGGCGCGATCCATTCAACCAAAATTTCCGGAATATTTCGGTCCAAAACTCTGGATCGGTTCGGTCCAACCGGAAAAGTTTCGAAAAAACGGGTCCACCTTTTTAGGTGGACCAATTTTCCCGGTCGGCCCGGTTGGAATTTTGGTTGAATGGATCGCACCCCAATACTCTGGATTAAACCGTCACGTACATGCAGGATTCATTTCTGTTATCAAGGACCATTAAGTAAAAATCATGTTGATTACATCCTTATATACAGCAGCTTAAGGCCTGGAGCGTAACAGAAATTCATCCTTGGGCTTAAAATGACTCAATTAGAGGTGAGCGAGAAAAGGTTTCCTATTTTGCCTGCCCTAATAATTTTCACAATCGCAAGTTTTGAAGAACAACATAATGGAATATAAAAATAAAATAATATGCCCGGCAGCCGGGAAGGGTCTAAGCTGCACGGCAGTCAGAATGTTTTTTTGATTATCTTCAAAATCTTTTTTTCTAAATATAATCGTTTGAAAGTATTATATCTTCGTTTAGAATTACCAAGGGATTAGGAAAACAGGAATGGCTTAGCAGTAGAGCGGTTGTGGTTTCTTGGGCATAGAGCCTGAGAGTCGACGCTGTTTCGACACTTAGAAACATTCGAGACTCGCGAGTACGTTTTCGCACAGGCTAAATATCCGGCAGTTTGAAAGCCATCTGGAAAGTTGGAAAGCCTGTTAGTAAGCCAAAGGATGCATACTAGCCTCGATTAGTTTTCCAAAGCAATAACGAGAATATTAAGTGCTTTCATTAAGAAACCTTAGAGTCAATGCACTGTGTGAATCAACTAACGTGTGGGAAAAAAGGGTGCAAAGGCAAACGCAGTGCGAATTACGGCCCATAACAAACGGGAAAGGCGGTCCCTGATAACACCAAATTAAATATAGCCTGTTATAAAAAAAACAACTAACGAGTCACGAACGATAAGGAATAACAAGACGAGCTATTAACCAGACTAAAAGGGGCGTAAAAGACGTGAGAGCTCAAACAGAATAATAACCATACGACTAACTTATAACAGAAATCGCGACGATAACTGTGATCCTCGGTTATCTCCTTCGCGATAATGGCACTGAGATTGCGGACGCGAACTTAATTAGAATTGATCGTGATCACCACCTGGCGATCGCGATTACTGCACCACGATCGAGAGCAATATGGCACTCGACGATCGCCGATTACAACTTAACTAAATCGCACCGCGATCGCAATCACCGCTTCGCAGTAAGTACAATGCCCCTGCGATCGCGATTACCAAACCGGGATCGTAGTCCTGACATATAAATCACGGATTTGAATTTACTAAATCAAGCCGCGATCGTGATCATCACGCCGCGATAAGTACAATGTCGCTGCCATCGCGGATACTATTTTTCAAAATCGCACGACCCCATCAGCTGCTTAGCGTTTAATATCATCGAGCTAAAATAAAAACTGTCTGTCTTCGCGATCGCGATCATCTTCCTGCGATCACGATCATTCCGCTGAGATCGCTATAGCTTCGCCACGATCGCTCTATCTTCACCATCCTGACCCTGAGATCGCGGATAATATTTTTCTGAATCGCGCCGCGATCGTAATCTTCTTCCTGCGATCACGATCATCGTTCTGAGATCGTTATAACTTCGCCGCGATCGCGATTTCATCGCCAGCATCGCAATCCTGACCTTGGGATCGCAGATACGATTTTTCAAAATTGCGCCGCGATCGCGATCATCTTCCCGCAATCACGATCATCGCGTTGAGATCGCTATAACTTCGCCGCGATCGCGATCACCACGCCGCGATCGCGATCACTACGCCGCGATCGCGATCATCGCGTCGCTATTGCAAGCGCGATTTACTTCAATTGCATAGCGATCGCTGATATCGCGCCGCGATCAAAATCATCGCGCCGCGATCAAAATCATCGCGCCGCGATCGCGATCACCGCGTCGCGATCGCGATTACCGCGTCGCGATCGCGATCATCGCGTCGCGATCGCGATCACCGCGCCGCGATCGCTATAACCTCGCCGCGATCGCGGGCGCGATTAATTTAAATCGCGCCGCGATATGCACAATCGCGCCGCGATCGCTGCCATCGCTCCGCGATCGCGGTCATCGCGCCGCGATCGCGGCGCGATCGCTAATAAATTTTTACAAGGGAAATAATATCATTTTTTTCTTGGTATGCTTTCAGTTACACTCTGTATTAATTTTATGACTTGCTGCTCAACTTACCGCATTAGTCACTAGATTGTTTCCTGGAACAGTTTCAGTAATTTATTACCTGATGCTCAACTTTAGCATAGTCACTAGGGTAAAATTTTTCTCACACTCCCCATGCTTCCTACATTCTACATGTTCAAATGTATCTCTTGTATTGCTAATGGCTTCTAACATAGCCTGCGTAGCAAGCATTTCCTCGCGATCTTCACTAGAAAGCTGGGACAAGAGCAAAAAAAACATGAATGATGGGGGAGGGAGAGGGGAACGAAGGAACCTCTTGCCCGCAAACCCCACGATTTTGAAAAACTGCGTTCGCCCACGAACGCAGCCTCTGATTGGCGCGGTGCGGGTAGTGTTGATTACTTAGCATTCAAAACATCAATCAAACCAATGCCGTGTTTAGACTTGAGCGTGCCACCGAGGTATTGGAGTTAACTTACCTAGGTAAATATTTTGCGTGTATAAACGCCAACTGATACCCTGGTAAACACCGCTCAAGACAATAGAAAGTTAACTAAGGTAAAAGTTTGATTTACCCTGCGAGCAGGCATGGTTAAGGTCGGTAGCCAAGGTTTGGATGACAGATACATCCGCTTGCAGTCGCATAGAATTTCACATCCTGTGGTGTCGGGATTGCATCAGTCTCGTTCGATCACGTTTTCGAGACCAGGTTTTCGACCAGGTTTGCACGTTTGGTTTCGGTCTACGAAGAAGTTATGGCAAAAACCAAACACACAAAAGACACACCATTCTTCAGCAAACCTTCCGTTTAATAGAGTTTCGAACCAGAATTGGTTTCTCGGCCACCACCTCGCACGTCTAAGGCGCCTTGTCTTGCAAAGGGCAATTTGTAGCAGCATTAATCGCTTACGCCTCGACCTCTTTAGGTGCAGCAAAAGTAAGAGCTGCTGCAATCTCGATTCCTGGGTTTGCTGATCAAGAACAAGAAAATAAAACGCGAGGACTACAAGAGAGCCTACAAGAACCACAGCCTCTCCTCTAATCGCGAGCATTTTATGCGTGGATTTAGAATTTGCCGCCAATTCGATTAGATTGTGATTGATGACAGATTTATTTGAGCCCGTATAAACACTGTACAAATGTACCAGGGTTTAGTCAGTTAATGTTTACCTTGGTACACGCTTGAGTGTAAACACAGCACAAGTATGCTTTGGTTTCAGACGAGATAAAGCCACACAACAAAAAACAAGAAATTCCGCAGCAATCGCTCATAGTTTTAACTTTCTTTTATCGCAAATCTTTTTTATTACACTTCTTGCAATCACCTGCAAGGTGTTTTATTAGAGAACAAAGTAATTTTACAAAAATTAATCTGGTAATCAGGGGTAATCTGTTCGTTATGTTTCTATTTTGACGAGCTGTCAATTTACAAATGAGCCGAACCGTGAAATATCAAGGGGCGTTTTTCAGAATCGTGGGGTTTGCAGGCAGGCGTTTCCTCTTCTCCCCTCCCCCTCCCCCTTCATCCTTTTTTTTGCTTCCACTCTAACTTTCGCGCAATAACTCGATTGGAAACGCTTGCTACGCAGGCTACTTCTGACAAGAGTCTTTCCATGAGTAGGTACGCTTCAATAAGTAATATTACACTTCAGTAAAATCCAACTAGTGGCCTATTATCAATGCCGCATTCTGATTGGTTGAGCTACTACTAGGCTATATGTTATAGCCCATTAGTAGCAAAAAGCGCCGGCTTTGAAAACCAAAACAATGGCGGCTGAATCGCGTTTTGCTAGCTAAAGTTGTTTTGTCTCGATATTTTTGATGAATTAGTTGATATTTAAAACAATTATTCCTCTGCCCCTCTTGGCCTCTGAGTCAATAGCCTAGAGCCCATTCAGGTTCGAGGAATAATTGTTAAGTATTATAGGCATTTTTTTAATTTGCTTAGGGAGTGTCTAGTGGCCTAACAACATCTAGGGTTTTTAACGGTATACTGTTTTATGTTACTCCCTTGCTCATTACCATTTGGTAGGACTGTTCCTACATTGTACATAATATTGTTCACTTTCTTGGGAGTTAAAGGCTGAGTGCTCATCTTAACTTACGAAAAATTGAACCCAGTTGTCATGTATTGGTTTTGCATGATTGTACAGAATAAACGACAGCGAGATGTGTTCATCATTGAAGCAGAAGTGACTACACCTCAGGGCCGCCTGCCTATAGTGCAAACCTCCAAAGTGAGTTGTAGTGGAGATGTACTTCCCTCGCTTGCTGGGACTTTCACATTTCTCCTTCCTGCTGACATCCCAGGAACCTTCCACATTAACTTCAAGTTCAAATCACTAGGCCAGATTGGCAATTGTGGTGTTGATGAAGTGTTGGTTGATGAAATTAAAACCTTTGTGGTGACCCATTATCAAAACAAGAATTTGTCTGATTACTGTGACCGCCACTTTGTGCCTGCAGTGGAGGTGCCTGTGGCTAAGAAACAACTTGTGGGTAAGTGTTTTCATAAAAAAAATATATTGTACTGTTAGTAGCATGTACATGCATAGTATAAGTACCATTAGGTAATAAATATTAAATTTAAGAATCATAAAAAATTAATACATTCTGTAATTCTTTTTTAAAAAAAATGGACCCACTGTACAACTGTCATTTATACAACTTATACAATCTATTCTGTACTGAGTACATGTATGTGTCAATGGCCAAGGGTCAATCAAATAAAGGAAAAGTAATTCAAGAATTTCAATTTCTTTCCACTGCATGATAACAGCCCTGTAAACAGCAAAATGTCATCCAGTTTGTGCAGCACAATATTCTTCAACTTTTTTGTACACTGTACTTCATACTTGTGCTTCATACTAATGTTTGGTGGAATACAATGTACAGTACATACATGGTGTATGTAGTAATAATTAATTATAATAATACCCTTTAGGTCACAATATTCACATACAAATTCTCCAGTTCTCCGTGCATGTACATTTTCTTTAAGAATAGAGAGACTGTGGTATTAAGAAGATCAAAGTATTTTCCCTTTGGTGATTTTTATTAATTTTGTTTCTTCTGTCGCCATAACCTTTTCTCTTGATGATTGTAATTGGTGTTGTAAGGAAAAAATTGACATTGGTCACTCTTTTGACTTACAGCAAGCTTCCATGTATCTTCAAAGTTTTGATAGTAAAATTTTGGCATAATTAGTTGTATAATTATTTTATAGGTATACTGGGAACACCTGAAGTTCAAAGGATCATCAACTATTTCCAAGTTCTTGTGGAAAATGGTTATGGATAATCACTATTTTACAGTCTTCTTACACTTTATACATGCACCAATAAAAATTGTTTACTTAATCAGAATGCTATTTAACGTGGTGCTCATTAAAAATATGCTAACAAGAGCAAAACCTGTCAAGCTTCCATCACAAACATTGCATTATTCACGGTAGTTTTATGGACAAAATTTTTGTTTGCATTCTTAATAATAACTTATTAATCTGGAATTATACTTGACCTTTCCAAATTTTTTTTTGTTCTTGTTTCTTGTCTTATGCAAATTTTGTTTTTATAATTTTCACAACTCTTATTTGTTAATGCTTTTAGGTGCCTTTGACTGTTTTAAGTGAGATCAGTGTCGTCTTCTTCAACACATGCATGCCAACTCCTATGATGCACGCTTCAAGGATTTGATCCTTGCTATTCAGCTGGAGGTACCCATTACTGACCGTTTGTTGATAAAAGTGTTGACAAAAAAAATGACCTTTGCAGATTACATTTCTATCTGTAAGCTAGTGACCAACTTCTCTGTTACATCAACAGTGATGGTTATTCAGGTTTTTTAAAAGGCCTTTGATGTGACAAATCATGAGCTTTTCCTCAAGAAAGTAACAACTTTAGGGAACAGTAGAATGGTTTAGGTCATATCTTACGAGCAGGAATAACATGTTTGTGTAAATGGCTGTTGCTCCTGCAGTCAACAGCCACTACGGGGAGTTCCTCAAGGATCTCTCCTGGAGCCTAGTCTTTTCCTTAATTTTGTAAACGACATACCTTTGAGTCGGTGTTGTCTTTTTACACAGGAAAGCCTTTTGTTGTACCAAATGGGAAATCTTGAAGGGTGTAAGCAATTAAGCGAAGATGTGTGTAACCAAGCAGTAAAGTTCAACTCACCCAACTACAATGTCATTGCTGGAAAGGCCAAAAGTGTTTTGTCTGGTGCTTACAAACAGGAAAGGAGGTTTACGAAGGCTGAAGAAGTCTTGGCGACCTCTACAGAGGTTGGCAACTAAACACTTCTATCGCACCATGTAAGGAAAGAATTCTTGGATTCTGGATTGCATTCTGCTGGTTCTGGATTCCAGTCACTGCATTCCAGTCTTTGTCAGTGGAACTAGGATTCTGGATTCCAATGTTTAGTGGGATTCCAGATTCCTTAAGCTGTATTCCAGATTCCAAACCCAAGAATTCCAAATTCCACAAGCAAAATTTTCCCGGTTACAGGATCTGGATTCCTTTACATGGGGCGACTTCTAAGTAACATTATGAATGGATATTCCGTTGAAAAGTAACGATCTGAAAATTAATATGAAAATGTGTTGTTTTGCAGCTGTTAGAGGCAGTTGTTCCCGGAGAAGAGACGGCTATTAACCGCACGTGTGTCGCTGCCCTGTTCTCTGAGAAAGCTGCTGTTGTGGGAATCACCAAATCGGAGGAAAAGAAAATGAAAAAAGCCATGAAAGCTGCCCTAATCCATTATGGGCACCAACGTGATCGAGGTCTGAACACGAATGCTCGTAGTCCAAGGCGATCATTAATCAGATCAATTTTCTATTACCTTCATTCTACTAGAGAAAAGGCCACTAATCTGCAGATCCCAGTACCTGATAAAGTCATGTCGGTGGTGGAAAAATTCATTCGAAATTTCAGCAGAGATTTTCTTAATGACTGCCCCATGAGAGACAAAGCACTGTTTTACAATGCACTGGGAGACTTGCATGCACAAAAGGGAGAGTATGAGCAAGGTGAGTCACTACTGTTACAGTCAGTTGTCACAATCTACTTACAAAGTGAATAGAATCCGTTACTGGACTTTTTGCATCCCTTTTACCGGCAGTGGAACTAAGACAAGTGAAATTGTTTTGTTCTTTATGTTTTTATGTTTTTTTTTAATCAATCGATTCAGGATACCAAGGTTTTCGTTATGCCGCAGTTCTGTTCCATACATGTTTGTTTTAACTTTGATCAGGCTGGAGAATATCGTTTGTATACCGTGTACAGCTTACTTCCCTAAAAACTAAGGGTTTCTTTGTATTAAAGTCGCACTGTAACTACAATGTACACTGTATTAACTATTCGATCAGGATTGAAGCAGATTCTTTACATACATACATACATACATACGTACATACTAACTTTATTCAAGATGTAAACAAGCTTATTTACAGGAAAAACGTAATATTAAAAGACATCTTGAAAAGGAAGTTGAGAGGTTAGACCTACATTAGAACTCCCAAACAGAAATAGAAAATGCTAAATAAAAACATCAAATACAAAACAAGTATTCAAAAATCAAGGCCTTAATTAAAGCACCGTTCCAGTTTAAAATTTATTAAATAGATAATGATGAAGCTTATTTTTAAAATGATGAAGGCCTTCAGCCTCTACTGTTCTTTGATTGTCTCTTACCTCTTACAACTGATTCTTGTTGTTTATATGTGCCAGTGAATGCCATTTTTATTTAATAGGGATCAGAGTTGTAACCAATGCATTCAGAATTGCGCGGGAACTTCGGCTGAGGGAAGATTTTAGTGGCTCACGTGATCAACTGAGGCAGCTGTGTTTTTTGAGCGAACGGATGTCTTTTGAAGTTCCTGTGGGAAGAATGGCGGGAAACCAGCCTTTCCAAGAACCACGATATGAAATACTGGAAAGATATCTTGATGAGCTAAGACAAGTTTAAAGATCAAGGTAGTGATAGAAGGAATAGCCTTACTTACCACTCTTAACCATGTCTCTGTAAAACAGACACCTCTTGGATCGAAAGTACGTGTCAGTAGGGAGTTTAAGATATCGCGATAGCGAAGGCAACTCTAGGCGCATCACACCTTTTGATCCAGTACTGACATTTCTTTGCCTACAACTTGAAAGTTCCTAATGCAATGCTTCATGGAGGACATGAAAACATGACAATTCTTTTTTCTCTTCCTTAATTTGGGTACAGTCCTTAAAAGATTTCTTGTTTTGTAAAATTCTCGCCTTACATTTGGTAAATTGCGTGACTTAAAACTTGTGGAATTTGAAAGAATACGAATTTGCTACAGCCGCCATCGTGGTGCCTTAAATTCTCCAATATGAAATGGATGAAAAGCGGAAGGGACTAACCCTACGTTTCCTTGTTATGGGGTTTACTATTGTATGGTGTTGTTTGTTTAGAAATAGGTGACTGATGTTGCTTTCCTGCTATGTCAGAGATACTTGCTTGTTACTTTGCTCCTTGTTATTCCGGCCACTTATTATTTCCTTCTAGAAGGGAAGTACAGTTGTAAAACAGAGTACTTGTCCTCTTTTAAACTGCATGCTTCAAACAGTAACTTTTGTTGGTTTTTATGTATTTTTTTTTGTTTCAAATCAGAGAGCGAGCGAGTGGATTATAGTCTATGAACATTAAAGGTGGAAACGAAGGGGCTTTAAGAGAGCGTATATAGTAAATCTTGTAGACTTTTATGGACAAAGAAGATAAGCTAGCAAATTAAAGACATTCATTTGCACATCACAACTCTTTCCCTCCAAAATATGCAAAATGAAAAAACAAACAGTTTAGTTATGTTGGAGGCGTTTTCTGTACTTGAATGGTCATACCAAGATTCTGTCCATGACTCTAAAGATTGGAGAAACATTCACATTTCCATAGCTAATTAATGTATCATCTCTTCATTGCAGCTCGATTTTTGAAACTGCCATGTTTATGGGATCTTAAAGTTTACTTGAAGAACTTCCCTCAAAATTCCAGCTAAGAAAGGTCAAGAAAGGGGACAAGCAATGACAATGTTATAAATACCGTATGGCGCTTTTAGTTTTAAGAGACGGACGTTGTCACCATTGAATATATCACCGTCCAGAAAGTCTGTAAAACAATAGTTCTTATCTTTTTGCAGATATAATTATTTGAAGTCGTACATATTTTAATGTACTTTTTAACTAGGATCGTGTACGTACAAGAAAATATTCATATGCCGTGTACATCAATTAGAAGATTTGCTTTCAATTGAACGTTGTCGTAAAATGTACACCTCAAGACCACACTCACCATTGACGAATTCATTTTTCATAAAACGACAAAAGTAAACCTCTGTAACCTTCGTATACCATTTTGTGGCATTGACAAATGCAAAGTTACGAACGTACAATGAATTTACAACTACCAACAAGACCTTGTGGTCTTGCCGTGTAGGCCTAAGGCCTTAAAATGCAACAATGTTTATTGAAGTACCTTTATATGATGTATACATGCATGTTATCGCTACCAAGTAGCCCCATTTTTATGCAAAGATCTTTTTGAAAAAAAATTCTCAAATTCATGAGAAGACGAAGGATTTGCCTCGTGAGAATTAATTGTTCGGGTTAAATCATTGTCATAGGTTACAGGGTTTTTTATGTTCGCAATACAAACTAAACTTCCAACTCTTGGGACCCTGTGCATCTCGCAACAATGATATTACTACTACTGTTTGGTTTTTTTTCTTTTTTTTTTACTATATACGCGTCTTTTCTTTCTAAATTTTTGTACATACATGTATTCGTATGTTATTTTATCACCTTAACGGTTCCTTAAAAGTTATTCCACAAGTTTAAAGTAGATAACAATGTTTTTGTACATTATTCAAATGTACCAACCACTTGCAATGCTGAAAGAAACGAACCCATTGTTACAAGAGCCAATAATATATCAACTTCTGGACCGGTTTGTTTAAAGCAGTGTTAAGATAACCCGGGGTTAGTGCAAAATATGAATTCAGATATGAAAGTTTAAAAGGCAAATTCACTTTTATTCTTTTTGTCTGCAAATTCATGATTGGATGCTCTAAAAGGAATGGAGAAAATTATCCTGGAAAATGTTTATGAACAAAAGAAAAAGAAACTTGAGTTAAAATTTAACCCTGGGTTAGCGCTAATCGGCCTTTGAACAACTGGACCCTGGATGTCACATTTATCAAATGTTGCAACTTGTAGTATATAGTATATAAAAATAGTGTATAGTATCATGTGGACGATAATTTAGTCCTATATCACTCAAGGTAGTTATTAAATAAGTTATTTTTTCTAGCATTGTTTGATAGAAGTTTCTACTAAAAGTAAGATACATTTGAAAGTAGATATACGACTAACAAATTAAAGAGGAAAGAGTTAACAAAGTGATCCCGTTTCTATTGCTTGTGTTGTCTATGTTAGTGTAGTTCAAGCTACGATATCAAGCCCATAGGCGTACGGGCCGTGGGGGCGAGGGGGGCTGCAGCCCCCCAAAGTTTGGGCAACTCAGACTTTTTGGGCAGCAAGAGAAAATTTGGGCAAAACCAGTTTTTAAAGACGTTTCCATGTTTGTTATTATTATTATTATTTTGAAGAGATAAATATTTTCTATTTTAACCAGAAGTCGACGTAATAATTCAGTTACGTTCACACGAGACAGTGGTTGCCTAGCACGGGATGAGTTTCTGGTTATAAGGAAGGGTATTATATGCTGATTTTTTTTATCTTTGGGCACTGTACTTCACTGTACTAGCTGGAATGGGCTATTTCCAGTCGTGAATTGATTATAATCACTGCATAATAAACTTCCGCATAACTTTCTAGAATCACCTCCGCTCCTAGAACAGTGTGTGGCAGAACACGCATCGGCAATGGGTCTGGAAGTGAAGTGGCTGACTAATTCCCAGTTTGAATTACGAGAAGAATCATAATTTTTTTAAAAAAAATCTATCAAGCGGTTTAAAAATTTGTTTAAGTAGACCGAAATGTTTACAAAACCCCTAACAAGATCGAGCGCTAATCAAATCCTTCCTTATAGCAATTGGCAGGAACTATGTCCATGATCTTTCACACACGTTTATAAAAAGATTGAAACTACTGTGAGGTGAAATTGCATGTCAAAAGCGCTCCGTTTTCTTCAGATTACGACTAAACATCAAGATTTTCCTTTGTTACCTTATTTCTAACAATAAAAACTTCATCCCAAAGTATCTCGATAACGCTCTTACGGTTCCGTTTTAACTTGACGAACATCGAGGCGACTAGTGGAGGAAAGAGCTCCCATGAACGATTTTGTAAGAACAGTTCCAAGTGAGAAATATTGCTGCAAGTATAATAGGTAATGGCGTCATTTCGTTGCTATGACAGCTCCGATGTCATTGCAATCCTGATCATGACAAATTTCCCTCTTTATCTAATACAAGTGTGGTGACAATTTTTCCAAATGCTTGTTTGTGGCGACGTAGTTTATGCTCAAACTTGGCAGGTATTGACTCTGAAAAACTGTATCGAGCCACTTTCATATGCCAGTACGGCCTATTTTGTTGCATGGCCCTAGCTTCCTTTCGACTGTTTTGTAAAAATTTGGGCAACTTGCAAGAATTTTTTGGGCAAATGGATTACCGCCCCCCCTGGCAAAAAATTGCCCGTACGCCTATGATCAAGCCTATGTTTAATGGACCTTTTTACCTTTTCGGGCAGTTTCTTGTCATTGTAAAGTCTTCACACAGAGCACTTAATTTTCCCCTCGACTTGACGACAGCGGGATAAGTCGCGACAAAAGACCCCACATCTAAACAGACTTTTCATTCGAGCAACTTCCCCAAGCTTCTCCAGCTTCTCCAAGAAATATGCCTTCTAAGCGTTATATCAAACGTTACAAACATCGAAAGCGACCTTTGAAAAACTTTTAGGATAACAAGCTTTCAAAACCTACAATTGCCATCCGTTTAAGTTCGATTTAACATTTTTTAACTCGGTCCATCAGTGCCTTATTTTTATTTGCCCCGTTCAGGATTGCCACGGTCAGGAAGTCGGAATTTTTTCATAAGTCAGGGAAATTTTTGATATTCTCAAACTCTGAAAAGTCAGGAAATTATATTTACCTTGCGCACAAAATCCCGTCTAAATCGTAAAGAGTAAATGCTGTTTTAAAATGAAGTCCGGAATATTGGTGGTCAACAAAAGAAACCGAAGCAAATGTAAACTTAGATTGTTTTTTATTAGTAATGTAAAGTCAGTGAAAATTGTTAACAGATTAGTATAAAAAATCAGTGAAAAGTAAGGGAATTTTTAAGTTTCTGTTGAGTAGCAACCCTGTTGTTATAATATACCATCTTCTTGAGCTGTTATTTTTATGTTTCACACAATTTAGTGGTAGTTGCTGTTTGAATTTTGTTTAATTCAGTGACACAGCTCCTTTAAAGGTGTTGCTGAAGCTTGGGTCTAATTAACAATTTTTCTTTGAAATCGAGGTGAATAGTAGCCAAACATTAACCGAGCCGCGAAAGCGGCTGTTCCCAAAGCCACTATTCACCGAGATTGAAAAGAATAATTGTTTTATTTTATTTTATTTTTTTTTTTGATGGCGTGACAGTAAATTAACGTCTGATACTTTCCTTTATAACAAAACTGTACTCAGGGAAACTAAAAAAAAATGTATTTCAATTGGCTGATTACTGTTGTTAAAAACCTCTATTAAGTGGACACCGAACTGAATTGACAATAGTAGCATTGAATTACGTCTTTGAAATACGTAGTGTAGTCGATTAATAAACTTAGATAAATCAATAGATTTAGCTATCAATAAACTGCATATGTGTACTGATTAGACCAACAGCCGGCCGTATGATTGTCATCCGCAATCGCTGTTCACCTGAAAGTCTTGCACAAAGTACAGCACAGCTCCCTTTGCTTCCTTAACAAAATGGACTTTTATCACTCGACGGTTTAGAGTAACCGTTGCAGGAACGTTAATCGTTAAGAAACATTGCGCAATTTTTACAAACCTCTATTAAGAAGTAAGCGAACACCCTCTATTACAGCCCTTGTTGTGAATAATAAGAGCGTTTACTACAAAGAGTGATTATATCCCTCAGTGGATCTCGTCCTACCTATTCTTTATAATTAGTCAGGTGGTACAAGTTTGTTTGTTTGTTAATTTGTTGATAAACAGGCCTAGCATTGTCTAAGAAAAACCTATTAATGGCGAGAAAAAACACACACAACGTTTCCATAACAATTGTTTGATTGTCAGGGTGTAAAATCAAAAGTAGGACCAGCGTTTGGCCCCACATCAGGATCTCCATTGTCATCAATAGGCGTGGCCAGCAAGTTTCTCAAATGAAGATCAACAGAAAACATGAGACCCAGGGCATCTTTCAAGGTCTCGGGACGGCCGTTGAACACGTTTTCCAGCGATTTTAGGAGCTTAGTGTAAACCATATTGAACATTTCTGCTTGCCTGTATGCATTGGACCCTTTCTTGTACTTAGACATTCGAGGATTAGAAACCATCGGCCAAACACCGTCTGGATCAAAAGGGATCTTGGAGCCGTTGAAGTAGTACGTGCCATTACAAAGCTATAAAATAAAGATATAAGGCGCAATCGTTACATGTGCTAATACATGGTTAAAGGACGAATTGACTAATAGTAAGAGGTTAAATTAAATATAACCAAGACCGTTCTTTATGTCAAATGCGAAGGATGAGCTAATAAGCCACAACAAGCGAGAATCATACAATTTACATATCACTAATTTGTCTGGCGTTCTACAAAATAATAGGCAAAATAATATGCTTAAACGTTTGCGCTTGTATCGGCCAAGTGAAGTATAGCAGACTGGCTTAAATGAGGGAGAAAGCAGGGGGTATAGAGTGTTTTCACTCACGTGGCCAGCATCTATGCAAATTTATTGGAACAAAAGAAAGCGTTTGCATAAGAAAAGACTTCAACTCCCAAAGGATTAGTTTGGGACACCAACATGGCCGCCGTTTCATTGTCTTGGGACACCAATATGGCCGCCGTGACGTCATGTGAAAACACTCTATAGCCTACCCTCTTTCAGGAAATGACAATGACAGTGTTACAGATCGAGAAATTTTGATCCAATCTCATCGTCAAGGTAGACAGTTATGGTTGCGAATGATGCGGAATACTATTGCATGAGTCCAAGTACAATATGTGCAAGAGTTAATTAGGTTTGCATGACTGGGCATTTCAACCGCATACAGTGAAACCTCTCCATCCTTTGGGGCACTTCCACTCCAGGGACACGTCCACTCAAGAGGCCAAAAAAAAAATTTCTAAAAGTCCTTTGAATCAGTTACCTCTGTTGAAGGTGCATCTATGTTTAGGGGACAATAGTTCTGGTCCCGAGGGTGTCCCCTGAGTGGATGTTCTTTCCCTTTTTTGTATTTCTATTCTTGTTAGAAAAACATACCTCAGTGTAATCTATCACACTGTCATCTTCGCTGCCGTCTGGAGACGTGTCTGTCAAGACGACTTGAATCTCGTGTTTTTCGGCAACCGAGTAGAACAGAAAATAATGCGATAGGTCCTTCCCACTTCCAGTATCCCAGGCAACCGGGTTACAGGGAGAACTACCTTCACCCTGTTCAATAATTTTCTCAATGGCTTCTACGGCCGTGAAGTAGTCGTACACCTTTATTGTATGTCCGTGCACAGACCATTCGCCAAAATCTACCTGTCTGTTCATGTCGCCCTTGAATATACTGTTGTTCTTTCCACAGTCAGTGAGGTAGTCAAGGGCGTTCAAAATGTGATTGTAGAAAGCCCCGATTGTGTTGTGATGCTTCACGATTTTTATGTTGTCGCCCGGAAATTTTCCATGCTAAAAATACAAAAATTAAAGCACAATTTAAAGCATGGAAACCTAAGAGTCTCCTTGGGTTGGTTTTGTCATTAAATTTAGTAGTAATCCAAATTTCCAGCTACTTCCAATAGAACCTATACGTACCCTAATCGTTTAAGAATTTCTGATCAATCAGCCATTATTTGGTAGCCAACAAGGCCTCACAGGTTTTCACAATTGGCATATCATGATTAGGAGTAGCCTGCGTCACAGAAGAAACTAAACTCTTGTTAAGTCCGGCTGCGAAACAGCGCCGAAATCCTTGTTCTGGGCCCCAGCCTGTGTACCAGGATTTGAGTACGCGCCACGATTGGCCTGTTAAGAAAGCCATTGTCGATTTGCCAATCAGGATGAAAGGAAATTTGAAACGCACTTATCCGTTATTGGTTATCCATAGAGTTTGTTGGAAGCCCAGAACAAGGATATCGGCGGTATTATTATTTTAGTAATGTAACTTCAATGCCACTAAAATAAGGTTACAACCTCTTTCCTTTCCTCCTGTTTTCCTACTTCCATTCTGTGTTCCTCTGCAAGGTCAATTTCAGGATCTACCATCTGGTGTATATTTCGCAGTTGGCGCATCTTGAAATCTGTGCAAAACCGTTTTCATACATTCAGTACACTTTAGTTTAACCCTATTCAGACCGGGATTGTTTTGCTTCCCGCGACCGGGAGGGGGGGGTGAAGGGGATCGGAGGCCCTCCTCTATAACTTCAAATCCGCTCACGACCGCCAAAGTTACACAGAGTGATGTACTTATCATTTCCAACTTCTGGGCATAACTTGATTGACACAATGACGTCATTTTGTTGAATAGAAAAATATACACTTTCAAGTATTTTTCAACTCCTTGATTTTATCAAACACCAATCAGTCAATCAATCAATAAACTTTATTTATCCATGCCACGGTAGTAACTAAAGCTGAAAAGCCTAAGGGGTCGTGCCAAAAAAATAAGAAATACAAAACTACTATATATTATTATCATTGTACAGTAACTAATTTTACATACTAAAATATTTCAAGCAGTTAAAAATTAGTATTTTGAGGTATTTACAACTCACACAAATTATAACTACATTCAAAATTTCCTGACCCTCGCTCTACCACTTGATCCATAACTCAGCTAAGTACAAAATGTATTCACAAGTATACAAAAACTGTGTCCATATGTTGTATGGTGGAAGATAGACGACTCGGCTGAAAAGTTCAGCTCTCTAAGATCTGAAGATTGCCAAGCCTTCTTCGTGAAGGCTTTGATTCCTATGCCACTTTCAAGTGGTGAGGGGAGATTCCAAGCTCAGTCTTTTCTACACTGCCCTCCCCACTTACAACATAATTTATAAATTATCTGTTTCAAGAACTAATAACTCTAACCTTTTGAGAAATAGCTCCTTGGAAAAAGAACAATCCGACGATCGATCTCCGTCAGCCTGGGGGTCTGTAATCAGCATGTTTTGGCGCACTGTGAACTCGTGTATCTGACAGCCTTCACTCTCCTCACCTCCCTGACAGTGGCCTTTACCCTCCATAAGCCTTTTGTGATGGTGTGCGAACGAAAATATTTGCTGAAAACGGGAAATTCGTTGTTGTTCCAGCTCAGGTTGTTCTATTTTCATGAATATGTTTCTGATGAGACCAAGTGAAAGTTTCTCAATTGGAACAATCAGGTCTGGCTGTACTCCCCCGGGAAGGCGAGAAGGGTAAATGGGAATGAATTCCTTTGAGTACAGAGATGGCTCGCCCCCAATAGCATTCAGGATGTTTCCAACGAGTGCCATGTGCATCATCTCTTGAATTATTATTGCCTTCATTACTCTTTGGATTTCGAGGTTGTAGCTGTACTTGATAGAGGCTAAAGCAGTAAGGTACGTGGGAATAGTTGCATGCTCTAATTCCAAAGCAGTCTGCAGGTCACTTCGGAGGTGTTCGACAGAATAGAAGCGCTTCGGGTCGCCGATAGGAGGCTTTTCTTTTGATAGCCATTCCACAATGACTTGACGTTTTGATTTGGAAAGGTCACGGGTAACAGGCATATGATTCGGATGAGAGATGGGTAATTCAAGACTCATTTTTATAGCCTTTTTGTGGTTTATGACGTCGTAATAATTCCCCAGATCAACGAAGTTCTTTGACATTACTGGATATAAATTGGCGTATTGTTTGAAGATGGGATAAACATCATCTAGCCAGGTTGGTTCCACTCCCTTTAGTTTGTATTCATCAAACACCAGGACAACAACCAAAGAGTTTAGAAGCATCAGAGCATTATTTTTGCACATGTGCGAGCAATTTTTATTTTGACCATCAAGGGAGTATATAAAAGGATACAGTTGTCCGTCAATTAAGCTCCTGTTATTTTTTGGATCTTTTGCCTCAATGTCAAGAGTTGCACGTCCGTTCTTGTCTGTGGTTAAATAAGAAGGTACATCCAAAGCAGGTTGCCCAACTTCTGGTCCACCGGAGAAAATATTTTCACAGTTACAAGGATCAAGCCTGACACGGGCACCAGGAAGAGGTTTTCCAAACTTCGTGGCAAGCAGCTTAACTTGAGCTAGATCACCTGGATTCTTCCGAAATGTCCATGTGTTGTATGGATGTATATCCAGACCGTCTATATCTTCGGCTAGCAGTATTTTTTTGCATTTGAGGACTGGCAAATTACCACTTGCCTGAGAATATAGAGAACCAAATACGTGTTCGTTATTGATAAAGGTAATAAATCCTTCCATTTTTTTTTTTCAATTTTTGAAATGGGTAAGCTAGGAAAATCCTTGGTAACACTAACAGGTTTTTTTCGATTAACCTAGCCTACAAAGAGTAACAAACGAGTTCGCATATCCCACGGCATTTGCTCACCAGAAGATAGGTTTGATAGGTTTGATAGGTGTCTACAAACGTCGGACCGGTGAAAATGTAATATTTTTTCCAGAGGGGAAATAAGATATTAAATATCTTATTGGACGATTTAGTGTGTATTATGATGGGATATCTCGTATTTTGAACCTAGGGAGGGGTTCCAACTTTCCCAACTTTGTCACTTTCTATTTTGATGAATTGACACATTTCAGTTAGAATGAATGAAGAACAATTTACTTTTCATCTACAGTACAAACATTCTGGTACGTTTGGTAACCATAAATATGAAGAACTGTCTTATCCAAAAAAATCCGAAAATGTGCAACCCAATTCTAGTAACTCTATTGAAAAAAATGCGACCCCATTATAGTCAATCCAGTCATGAAAATGCGACCCCATCCAGCGGCACATCCCCATTAGCCTCTTATAAGAAGTACCCCCCCCCCCTACGAGATTTTGAACCGTTGCAGTAGCTTGAAATCCCACGATACTACAGAATGGCCCTGCAATACGATATGTATTTCATAGTTCCGTGGCGTTGTAATTTTAGACCTATAAACAAAGCTTTGAAAAGTTTTTGAAATAAAGAGCACCCATCTTGCTGTCTATACTATATGTACCTCTACAACAACCAATGGATGGCTGTTAAGTTTTTCCATTTCGCTTTCAGATAATGATCCAAGAGCTGGGAAGATCTGCACCCCCGCGGAGTTCTGGTACCAATTGGGGTATTGATTGTAAACTACACCTAGCCACAGTAGATCGTCAGAGCACGTCATTGAGGGTTGTTCATTAAGCGGCAAGGCAACACGAAGACTGTCGTAAAGATCAGTAAAAAGAGTTCCATTTTCATGTATAGGTAAACTGTTGCCAAAGTCAACAAAAACTTTCCTGTGCCTCTGGTCCAGGTAAAAGGGTGTGTCCTGAAGATGACTCGCCATCGACTTCATCATGCGGCCGTGAGTGAAAAACGGAGGGGATTTCCGGCCCAACAGACCAATTGTGCCTGAAGTTTTGAAACTGCTTTGTTAGCTTTTTCATTAAGATTATATCTAATTTGTGGGATAAGAGATGAGAGAGCACATTTTATTGCAACCATGCATTGTACACTTCAGAAGTTCCGAGCTTTTCTATTATATTATTTTTCATATTCATTTTCATTTTTACGAAGCTTTTTTCCTAGAACATTGCCCGGCTTTATTGATTCTTACCGCAAAGTCGTGTAATCTATCTTCGTCTTGCTTGAATATTTTATTATGACTTTAATTACTTTTTGCATACGTTATGGACTATGAAACATATCTCAGTCTCTCAGTTCTTTCATTTTCATCTATATATCTTACCTGTCACGCGTCCTATGGTAAAATTGTCTTTCCGGTAATCGCGCTGGTACATATCCACATTAAAACGTATGGATAGTCTTTCGCCGTCAATGTTATCATTGTTCATTGAAGTTTGAATCTGTCTGATGAAAGGCGAGTCGTTTGAGGTGTCTATCCATCGAATATTCGACAAAACGGACTGGTATGCTGCTCCGAGAGTAGAATCTCCTCGTCGCCTAGTGACCATTTTTTTCCATATATACTGAAAAGGAACTGGTGTGTAATCAGCAGAAAACAGGTTTCCAACTCTAATTCTCCATCCCCAAATTTCCGAAAAAAGTTGCGCTTCGGGATCCAAGTCAACCAATTTTGCAAACGTTTTATTGCCTCCATCTAGAAAAGGGGTAAGTGAGAAGATCTGTTTATTATTTCGTTGCTCTTTGTTTATGTTTTTCTTGAATGTTTCGGCTATTTTGGCAAGAACGAGAGTTTCAGTCCAGAAGAGGAAATTGAACGGCACGCTTTGGTATATGCACTGGAAAATAAAAAGATCTGTTTCAGCCCCGGCGAAAGTGCCAATTTAGCCTCGCAGGCCAAAGTCTTATTTAACCCCTCCTGGAGTCTTTTGAGGACAATTTAAGCCAAAACAGCCCCATCAAAAGGCACTTCCAGCGCAAACTGGGAGCCATTTCAGCCCTTGCGTCCTATTCAGCCCCTAGGTAATTGGACTGTGTTGGCCTCTGATTAAGGGAGCCAAAAATAGGACTGTATTTTGCTCACCGAAACGACTCTATTTTGGGGCTAAAACCGATCTTTCTGATTTATAGTGATTTTAGACAAATAGCATCTTTCAATTTTTACCCATGATCAATGCTCCCATGAGTGGCTCAGAACTTTTGTCGCCCTCATCTTCTCCTACGCAGTGACCATTAGAATAGCATACATGTGTCACCGAGCCAGTCACGCTCCACTCGCCACTACCCATCGGGTTCCAGTTTCTAGGCCCTTGTATGAGATCCGCAGCAGTGAATTTTTCTGTGTCGAAATTGAGTGGGTTGTTGTTTACGGTGGAGACGTCAGAACGAAATGTACCGCTGAAGTGGAAATGCGGCCACAACAGGTAACTTGTGAATGGATCTTTGGGGGAGGCATCATCTACCAAGATAATTAAAAAAAGGTGGCCGAAAGAGATAAATTGTATCAAGAACTTAACGCACATCAGAATTGTCATTAGTTTCGCCTCTTGCTTTTGCAGTCGGTCATTCATGAAACATATTCTTTATTCTTTTTACAATCATGTTCTTTGTCGGCATGTCGGCCAGCCGAGCAATTTCCCAGCTGAGCAAGGTACGCTGTTATCATCATTTCTACGTATGTTTACGTATCTGCAGTCAACTCTCTGTAAGACGGACACTTTTGGAACCGGCCTCAAGTATCTGTCATAGAGAGATGTCCGTTTTATAGAGAGTCAAATAAAGGGAGTAAAGAAAGGCAGGGGACCAAATTAATTGAAGGTGTCCATTTTACAAAGGTGTCCGTCTGATAGAGTGGTCTGTTGTTTATTGACAAGGTTCACGTCTTCTACGCATTCTCTTTGAGGTACAAGTGTCCATAATGATCACTAATGAGTTTTTGAGTATTGGCAAACTTTGTAATTCATAGCAGGAGACAATAATGAAACAGAGAGGGACACGCCCAGTCTAGCCCTCGGAATATGTGAATTACACCAAAGTAATTTTTAGACCAATTAAACGCTTAAATTACTCGGAATTTGGTTTCCCGAGAGGTCGGCAAACTCTTATTCAACAGTCGTCATTACAATTTTCTACATTATTGAGGCAATCGCGGTTGGGGATTAAAATTTGCGGACATCCCAGGAATAATTAAACTGCCTTTGAAATATAACATTTAAAAATAAAGTTGGTGAAATTCACATATCCCGACCAACGCCCTACGATTCTCTCTCTGTTCCATTATTTGGCTTAGCCTCAGAGTGCTCGGCAACTTTTCGGCAACTTTTGCGATTTTCGGCAACTTTTAAAATTATAGGCAACTCTTGATTTTTCAGCATTTTCAAATTATTTTTTTTACTTTTTTCGCGGCATTTATTAGCTTTCGAAAAAAAATTAAGCTAAATTCAACTGGTTTATAGTGCTGTGTGAGTCAATTACCAATGCCATCTTCGTGTTGCACGCCTGTCCTTGAGGTCAGCGGTATCACATGACACGTTTTTCAAGATGGCCGACAACATTGTCAGTGATTCAGACTCCAACTGGGGAGAACGTGCAGGTGAAGACCCGATTAATCCTATTGTGGAAGCTAACAGGCTAGGGCAAACCTCGCTATCACCGAAAAAGCTAAAATAGCTAGAGAAAGAAAAAAAATTTAGACGAATAGCGTTCTACTCTAGAAAAAAATCGTCGCTTTGTCTTAGAGACACAGAAAGAAAAACAAAGCAAGAAAGTGCTTTACTAAACGTGTAGCTTGTCGCAGGCTTGCACTAACAGACTGCTTTAATACTCACACAGACACAGTTAAGAAAAGTTCCTGATCGATGTCAACTGTTGAGTTTGACCTCTATTAATTAATCAAGTTTTGTTAAAAAATGAAAATGTATATAAAGCCTACTTATACTGTGCGCGGATCTAAACCGCAATTAAACGAACTTCAAGTGCAAACAAGTAAAAGAAAGAAACTTTTCGGCAACTTTCAAAATGAAATGGGAACTTTTTAGCAACTTTTGTGGGCAACTTTTTTGGATTTCATCGGCAACTTGGTGGCTAGTAGAAATGAGATAAAGTCAACCTCGTTCCAAGGGTTATCATGCCGGTCACCTCATAGTAGTTTCAACCTTTTTAAAAACGTGCGTGAAAGATCATGGAGATAGCTAGCTTCAGGCCAGTCCCAATATATGTTGTAATTTATTTACGAATTTAAATAAAAGTTTGAAATAAATAAAAGTTGGAATAGCTTTAGCTGACTGCTAGAAGGAAGGATTTTATCAGTATGTATCCGGAGGTGCTCTTGTTAGCCGTTTTGTAAATCACTTTTGTCTACTTAAACAAATAAGCGAATAATTTTGAAACCGCTCAAGATTTTTCTTTTAAAAATTGAGATACGCGAGTTTAAGCGTCGTTTTATGTGGCCATTGAGTTTCAAGATTATTGATAATTTGTAAGGCAGTAAAATAGGGGCTAAAATTGTTTTTACGGAAATTTCGCGTCTACAAGTGAGAGCGCTAACCTCTCATTATTCAGCGTACTGTCTAAAAGTTTCATTTTCACGTGAACAGCAGTAACTAACAATGCATTTGAAATATGCAGATGTTATAGCTACTGTTGTCCACGAAAATATAAAATTTGGAGACAATACCCTAGAATAATGAGAGGCTCTCAAGTGTAAACAAGAAATTTCCGATAAAATAAGCGAATTGTATTAATGGCGACGTTGTTTATGCTCAAACTTGGAAGGTATTGTCCCTGAAAATCCCCGAGCCACCTTAAAACCTAACTAAATTGTAGCATCAATCTCAATTAATCTATGGTTCTGCGTATGGAATTTCATACATTCGTCGGTAGAAGAGTGACTCTTGAGGTCAAGGAATTTAGAGATAACTTGATATATTTCCTTATTTCAGAAATTAAATATTTTGATTTTTAAATGCCTGTCTTAACAACACTTCCGTTGCTTCTAAGAAAGAGAAAACAAAGCAATTTTGCAAATTCACACTGCGTAGAGTACTTTTTTTGCTCACGGCTATATTTACATAGAGGAAAAAAAACAACAACAATACTTACAAATTCAATGAAGGGACGAAAGCCCTACAGTGTATGTGCTAACACGGAAACAAAGCAGACAAAGTGAAACTAACTTTCAGGAAATCTACAGTCGTATACTTTGCTTTCTCTCGACTCTTATTAACTTGCCACTTGCCTGACTGAAAGGCATACTTTTAATTTGAGGTCTGAATTGCCTAAATAATACTCTTTTATATTGCTACGTAATGCATCGATTAATGTGTATAAAGGCCGAGGCGCAAGCTTGAATGTCAACAAATCAACATATCACAACAAACGACCTCGTGAACGCTTTATCTGCTTCATCAGAGGAGCCAAATGGATAAAATGAACCAGCTAAATGAAACATGCATCAGGTGAGCAGGTGAGCGTCAGGCGTGTTTAACCTCAAATTGTGTACTCAGGAGAAGAGCTAAAATGCCTTGCTAAGTCTGAGGTGGCCTTTAAATGTTTCCGTCGAGTGCTAAAAGCTAAATGGTTAGCAAGGTCTTATAATGTTAGGGGCTGACATGGAAGTTTCTTAGAGCGCATTATAAACACACTACCTTGCTCTGGATCCACAGTGAATGTTTCTTTTGTCAAATAATCCGTTCTTGCCTGCCCTTCTTCAGCTACGCGAGCCTTCGGGTCTGGAACTTGTAGCCTGTCAGGAGAAGAGCTAAAACTAAGTCTGAGGTGGCCTTTAAATGTTTCCGTCGAGTGCTAAAAGCTAAATGGTTAGCAAGAAGCTGACATGGAAGTTTCTTAGAGCGCATTATAAACACACTACCTTGCTCTGGATCCACAGTGAATGTTTCTTTTGTCAAATAATCCGTTCTTGCCTGCCCTTCTTCAGCTACGCGAGCCTTCGGGTCTGGAACTTGTAGCCTGTCAACGGAAGCTCCGCAGGGCAACACTTCTGTAACTTCTAACAAGAAAAACATTAGGAAAACTTTCACATTCATTGTGAATTGGGACCAGTGAATCAAGCTGAGCTTGGCTATGAAGAAAGTATAGCACAGTAGCGAAAACTGACAATTCTTAGCCGATACACCGTGTAATCCGCATATATGTATACAACGTCGATTTACAGCAAGGTGGCTTGACAAAACCTCGATGCTCAATCATGCAAATTAATCCCCCAGGATATGTCAGGTAAAGGTACAATGTAGCCTGACAAAGGCCATAATCCCATTATGGCTCTTGAGCCTGAACAAAAATGGGCAAAAAAAAGGGGGGGAAGTAAGAAAAATACTGAGGCGCGTACAAGGAGTAAGGAGCTAGGGCGTTGAAGCGAGCGCGGTCGAGCGATCTAGCTGAGGTGCAAGGGTCTGGGTACTGCCGAGGAGTATACTGGACCGTCACAGAGATTATCCAGCGCACGTTAGACATTTTCACGGCGTTTCATTCGTTTGCTGCAAGCAATAGCGAAGGAATAAATCCACGTTCGTTTTCTGTTCTGTTTAAATTTCTTCCCCCGCGAACAAATATCTGTATTATTTTCCACCTCGTGACCTGTAAATATCTTGACTTGGTAAGAAAATGGCATCACAACCCAGGTGATAGCACTAGATAGATAGATAGCCTTTATTTTAAAACGATGATTATTAAAGCTACATGAGCTTGTGGGGTCGTTTGCAATTAACTAATTACAAGTAAACTAAGAAACTAAAAACTAGGGGTATATACAGACAAAACGTTTGAACTAAATTAGCGCTTACAAATATGAAATTATGAGCATAAATTTAAATATATACAAAGTCATCTTTTCTAAAATTACAAGTGGATGCAGACGTTATCTTGAAGCTGAATTCATTAAAATTAGCTTGAGATTTAAGCTTTAGCCTGCGATCACGATAAGGAATGTTTTTTGTCAGGGCACTACAGTTGTTGGTCACTGCATTCCACAGGACTGAGCCTCTAAACGCGACAGAGTCTTTCATGTAACACGTGTTGAAGCGTGGAACAATTAAAGAAGCGCAAGTCCGGGTTGAAGAAGAAGAATACTTTATTTATCCACGGTTGTCTCATCAGGCATATCTATAATAATTAATTAAAATTTAAAATTTAAAATTACAAACAATTTTATATATTACTACTTTACTTATTTACAAATATAAAATATAAAATATAAAACCCTGCTTTCCACGAGAGCCGTGCATTACTAATCTAAAAACTATAACTAATTGTAGTAAAATGACCCGACTACTGCAGCCCGGCTTTGAAGCTTTCTATTGTTTTTGCTTGCCGTAACCCAGCTGGCAGACTATTCAAAGCACCGCACCAGTATAGCTAAAGCTATTTTTCAAGTAGTTTGTGCGGGGCTTTGGAATATTTAGTTTGCCCTCGGCGTCTCTCAGGGAGTATACGGTGTCACGGTATATAAACATGGATCGCATATATTCAGGAGCGAGTCCATTTAAAGATTTGTAAACCATGACAGCCTTATGAAAGCTTCTTTGTGACTCTAGTTTTTGCCAGCCAAGAATTT